TTATTTTATTTTTTCTAAATAAATTTGTTAACTGATTAATTTAGTTCAAACAAAAAAAAATATATGATTTTCCTATTTCTAATTTTCAATTCAAAGTCAACTTAATCAAATAGATCTCAATTTTATCCAAATCCGTTACTCTACTGTAGTGTCGTTTCTATTGGAAAAAATTGAATTAAAACTCTACAACGTCTCTCTTAATTATTTTGAGCTCGCTATCTTTCTCTTCATGTGATTTTAATAATCAAATTTATAAAGAACTCAATAAAGAGAGACGTAAAAAACACATAAGATTGGACTACGTTATTTTGTAAGAGCTAAAATTGAACTTATCATTAATTAAATTAATGTAACTTTGTATATATTAAAAAATTTAATTATAATATGGAATCTCGGAATCGAATGAAATCGAACCGGACCGAATCGAATGGAACCGAACCCAAATGGTTCTATAATTAAATTTGAACCTGACGGTTCCACTTACTAAATATCCAAAAATTTCGGGTCGGTTCTCGTTAGAACCGAACCAAATCGGACCATGTCCAGCCCTAACCACCACCACCCTCCATTCAGCACCACACCACACCACTACCAACTCCTCCTCACCTTCTCACTGCACAACCCCCAACTCTGCAATCCGAACCCCTGAAATTGCAACAACCCAACACAAATATGGACAGGTGACACCGGCACATACAATGAACTCCAACCACCCAAAACCACCAGCAAACTTGCCAAGTTGACATAATACCAAAACTGTACTATATTCCTGCAAAATAAAAGGCAACAGAATATACAAGAAATGGCTGTATTACAAGTCTATAAGATTTCACACTTCATGTTCTTCCTCGTCCTCCTTTTCCTTGTAGTTCTAATGGTGTGGAGTATCGAGTGTCAATATATAGAGCATGTTTGGCAACACTTAAAAGTTAATTTTTGTTTCTACATACATTTTGAGAATAGTAACTTCCAAGATTAGCCAAACAAGCTGAAAGCCTATTCTCCACAAGTGGTTTTTACATGAATCTTCACAAATCACCGGCAAGATTTAGAGACAATTGTACTATCAATTAATTTCTAAAACAGTTTTTTTTTCTTTTCTTTCATTTCTGCAGAAACAACAGTGGTAATGTCAAGGTTTTGCAGAAGGCATTAACATAGACGGGGGTTGAGCAACGGTGACAATCAATGCAGAAACTGGGAGGGTGCCATCCATGGAGTTTGTCATGCTGATATACTATTCTGACCATTTATCACTAAATCTAGCACGCTCCATGGCTACTCAGATTTTCAGTACATTATTCCACAGTAAATGATAAGGAGGTGCTACTACTGGGGCTGCCACGCAAAAAGACTTCTAACGACAACTAGACTTCCCAAGGGGACTAACGACTGTCCTGAAAATGGGAGTCGTGGAAATTTCTCCAGTTGCGGAATGTCATGTATAGTGTAGTGATAATAAAAATTAGTCCATGGTCTTTTAAAGAGTATTTTTATATCTGTAATTGATCAAGCCTTTCAGCTAATCATCAAGTTTTCATTCTGCAGAGCCATGAAGTTAAAGCATGTCCAAGAATGAATATACGTGTAAAAATGAATAAAATTACTAGTAATGGTACCAAATTAAAATAATATATACTAGCAAATGTTGTTAGTCCTGCACTAGGTCAGCCTTCATGTTGAATTACATATATAACTTGGAAAGAAATCATTTATTAATAGACGAGACCGCTAAATACCTTGGTAATGTGCTGGTCTTCAATCTTTCCATATTCCTGACAATAGGTTTTCTGCATTCATCGGCCTTGTTTTCTCATTGGAAAGGAATTTGGGAGGGAAGTTACAAAGGAAGATACTATTTCTTTTTCTGTATCATCTGAACTTTGTCCGTTATTCTTCTGTTAGTATCTCAAGGCAATAAAAACTCCAGGAAAAACTAAAATTTCTCAGTTAAATTCTTAACAAAGAAATGCGGGAAAGATTCACAAAATATTTCAAGAAATAACTTTGCAACAGTAGACAAGACATTTTAAATAGAAATGAAATATATTGTTACAGCTTTTCATGAGTGAGTTTTTATGTTACATTTTCCCACCTCAAAATTTAACTTATTGACCCAAAAAATTTTGATTAACACCACCTAGAATTATATATCTATCTTAGTTTAAGGAAAACGAAGACAAGAAATAAAACAGGCCTCATTGTTCACATGACATATCCTTCCTATCCTTTGCCTTCCAGTTTCGCTTAGGTGCCATCCATTAACTTGTCATATTAAACTAGGATCAACATAAAGGACTTTTTGGTGCTTGATAAGTTCTTATCTCACATTCCTCGTAAAATCGTGTTATAAGGTTTACAAGGAGCATTAATCTGGTAAGCTAGTCATCATCATATCTCAGAAATTTTAACAAGTGAAGTAAGTTCAAGAATAGGGAAAGACTCAGATTTTCCATGCTCATTTTCCCCGACCAATTATGTTAATGGGTTCATCTGAAAACCAATACGTAATAAGTGAAAAGCCTTCATAAGCTCATCTATTAGTTTAAAAAGTTACAATTTATCAATCCGGAGCAAGCTCCAATTCCATATTTCTTGAATGAAAAATGTTAATCAAGTATACTCTATAATAGCATCAAAGTTGACATTCAGTACTATGCTATACAAAAGGCATTTACACAGTACAGATCGGAGCATAAAACCAAGTTTTCCAGAATATTTTGAAGTACTAAGCATGAGAAAGATGCGTGTACAATAAATAACCGCTAGCACCAATTTCAAGTGAATTTGGGATGATGGAGAGAAATCAACCTGTAATCACCAAATTCAGCATGGAAAGTGCAAAATGAAGTTTGGAGTTTCCATCCTATGTTCAGGCATAAGACAGGTTCAACACAAATATGTTGTTTACCTGTCTTGTCTGATTTATAGATCAAATTCAATTTTAAGTTCAAAGTGCGACTATTATATCTGTGAAACTAACTATAAATTTATGTTCCCTCCAACCAGATTGGTTTTTAGTTCTTAATTAGTAAGCAGAAATAGATTAGCACCAAATGAACTTCCAACAAATGCCGACCGATTATCCAAGACTCTACAGCATACAATTGAAGTATTCCTTTAGGTTCAGACATATTTCAGCAATACTACAAATGAATACATAAAAGGATACAACCAAGAGAAATTCTTCTCTCCCCAAAACAAGTTGGATCATAGAATCCGATTACTCCAAAATAATCAAGACTTCAACTTCTTCCTACATAACTGCAAGATGAGAAATTGAAAACATTAAACATCTCATTAATTAATTTTCAATAGAATTCAAAAGCAAATACCTGAATTCATCAACTCATCACAAGAATACCTATCGCATCTTGACTCAATTCTGAGCATGTTTGGCTGTAAATCTTACTCAGAAACATGACTTTTAAGAACAACACACTCTACTATATAAAGAATTCAGCTTGTCTAATATAATACATGATGAAATTAGCTTATTCTGAAACAAATTCAAGAAATCAAAGAACAATCAAACATCAACTCGACAGCAAGATACAGAATTCACCTTGCATAACACACTACCAGATGAAATACGTGAACTCAGAAACAAATTCAAGAAATCAGGAACAGTCAAATAACTGTAAAACCAAACCTCCACCTTTCATTACAGTGAAATAATCCAATTTATTAATTCACCATACATTAAATTAATGCACAAAACCAACTAAAATACTTCAGTAAGATACCCTAAAAACAAACAAATCCCAACTACTTCTTTTTCCCCTTGGCAGATTTCCTCTTGGGAGGAAGAACAATCTCTCCTTTAAGCACAGGGATTTCCATAATCTGCGACAACCCACCGAATTTCTTGCGGAATTTTTCAACCTGGTCGGCATCGACAAGAAGCTGTGACCTACTTCCCAAGTAAAAAGGGTGGTTCCCAGACCACACATCCACCACATACTCTTTCTTGGTTCCACCAGTTGTCATCACCAGTTCACCATTGCAATATACTTTCGAGCCCTCAAAGAATTCCGGGTGTATGTCCTTCTTCCTGCAACTCCACCGCATTCGATTGCTGCCCACCACTCCCTTCACCTGCAAATCGAAAAAAGAAAAAAAATTACTACATAATTTCCCATTTTTGTTGAATTATTATGAATGAAAAGATGCTCTTTTTACCTTGTTAGTGAGAGAAAGCGTTGGAGGAAAGAGATTTTTGCTTACGAATGGGCTGGATAGAGCGAGCGCCATTTTTTCGCAAGAATGAGTGGAAATCGAGGATAAGAATGTATGGTCTATGGTGGGGGCTTGAGGATGAAATATTAGGAAATGGAGAGGAACTTCAGAAAGTCACCGCAGTGGCCTTTTACCACTAAGAAGAAGAAAAGGATAAAAATTAAATTGTGGTTAAAAGCCAAAAGTCAAAAGTATCCTATATCTTGTGCAAACGGTAGAGGAAAAAGAAAAATTCTCACACGGTTGGGATCTAGTTGGCCGCGCCACCCTCACGATCAACCCAATGCTGACCACCACACAACCTAGTAATTGACAACGGTATCTTGAACAAGGTTAGTTTTTGTAGATTATGGAGATGAAATATGGTTTAGATTGTTCATTATTCTTTTATAGATTTTGACGATTTTTCATTGTTAATTTTGTTAGTTTTTGATGATTTTTAGGGCGAAGATCGTCGGAAATGACAGAGTGTTCCAAGACGATGGTGACCACCATAGTCACCACCACCACAAATAGTCGGGTGATCTACTGTTAACAGTCAGCCCACCCCCGATTGTTGATAGTCGACTCATTTTTCATTTTTTTGACCGATTTTTTTTGCTTAAGTTTTTTACTGTTCAATTAATTATTCTCTTTATTATAATTTAATTTCTTCAATTTAAAATAATATTTATACTCTTTATTTAATTTTTATAGTTTCCTTTTCTTATTTCTTTTATGTTTTTATTATTATTTTTTTGGTCACAATTTAAAATTTTCTTAATTGTTTAATTTATTTTTTCTTCATACTTTTGGTCTTTAATTTTTTAATTCAATTTAGACTACTTCTTCACATTCATCGTGCAATGCATGCAGTTATTGGAACATGTATCACACGTGTAAAATCTGAGAACGTCCCACATGAACCGATTGGTCGTAGGTTCGAATCCTACTTGGGGAGATTTGATTCTTTCTAAATTAAATAGAAATGTTGGCCTACTTCCACAGCGGATATATCATATAACCCTTTTAGTGTAATTTTTAATTATTTTCTGTTTATCATAATTTAATATAATTTCAATTTATAGTGCTTTTTAATATTCTTCCTTTAATTTTAATTTATTTTATTAATTTAATTCATTTTATTTTTGTCTATAATTATTATTTGTTTCCTTTAATTTGTTAAATCATTTAATTTTTTATTAGTGTCGATATAAAATGAATCAATTTTTTACGTATAGAAGTTACAATTCGTTGAAATACAATCTTGATGTTGAGTTGAGACAGACAGAAGGCAAGAAAATGTATTGGGAACAGTAGTTTTTACAGTTTTAATACTGTATTAGAGTTGCTCGATAATCGGCAAAGAGATTTGTTACGTCAGTCCTTTTCGTGGTCCCTGTATCAATTAAGAGAGGTGCAGTACTCCGGGTAGATTATCGATACATTGCTATGTTGGCTGCTTAGGTCAATCGACGGTGATGCACTCCACTTCAACATCATAGATAAGGTCGCTAGGTACATTACTCCAGGCAGATTATTGATACATTACTATGTAGGCTGCTTAGGTCAATCGACGACGATATACTCTCCTCATGACTGGACTAAGGATTACGGGCAATGAAGCAAGGAGTGAAGGTACTAAAAAAAACAATATGTTGTAAGACACATATTTTCAGGGACAAGAGATGGTGCTTCTACCACAGTTGATTGGCGCAATTAGACGATCCGACCAGACGTTGGATAGCTTGAGGCTAGGATTAGCCTATATCCTTAAGAGTGTGGTGATCTGTCATCACAAAAAGACTCTGATTGACATTTTTCATTTGTATGTTGTTGATGACATCGATGCCTTCATCAACTATCCATGGAGACAAAGATATTTTCAGCACATCGTGCGCGTCTTCACGAGATTACATCCGAAGCTTAAGGAGCCCTATATAAGTATGATACTTATGAATTGACCTTGGCAGTGTAAGTACACGTTTAACATACTTAAAGTTAAAAAAGATTTATATTAAATTTATGCCCATGTTTGAGCCACATTTTAGGAAAAAATACATTATTCATGTCAAATCAATGGGAAATGTGTGGTTAAAAAATAAAGAGAAGTTTTAGATTTCGTGTAATATTATTTTATTGAAGAATGTGTGGTTGAAATGATATCAAATCACTGTTGAAAAATATTTTTGAAAATAATGTGGCTCAAACAAACCCTATATATAATAATTGTATGTATTGTAAATATGGACATATGAGACTATCCCCCTCTTGGGTACCCAATTTGCGAGGAGAGGTGAGACACGCTACTCTCGGATGCATCATTGGCGAGCATCCTGCAGCAGACTGTTTTCCATCTGACACAAGATTATCAGCTCTCATTGACGACCCTCGGATAAGTATTATACATTTGCGATTTATATTGTATATCGTTTCAGAATCTCAGCACATGATCATAAACTAGTTGAAAAATGTCAATATGTTAATTTGAAGTCCTAACTGAGTTGACGCCGTCGACGGAGGAGGGTCAAGGTTTGTTGCATGAATTAGCCGTTCCGCATACTCAAGATGGTTATATATCCAATTATGTCATGAATCGAGATTGGGTACGTTAATTGAATATAATTTGATGATTGTGTTTTGTAAGAGTTGGACTATTTTAATGAAGTTATTAATTTTTAATGTTCTTAAATGTGTAGGAGTGCAGTCTAGTTGATCGACGATCATTTTCGCCACGGATATCACCTCCTCCAAGGGAATGTCCTCCCCGATCAAGACACCTTCCCTGTGAATCTCTTGCAAACAGTCAAAGTCGTTATTTCAATGGTCTGTATGTATGCATGATTAGATTTATCAAAGACGAGGTGGGAGTGTTATGACAAAAGTTGAGAGAGGAGGTAGATGAGCTACAACAAGAGTTGGGAAATGAGATAAGGGCACTGCGACAAAAGTTGAGACACGAGGTAGTAGATTTATACCATGGTCATCGAGTGTAACGAGGCCATTTAGTAGATCTTCAAAATGAGGTTGCAGCACTATGAGATAGTATAGCAAGCTGACGAGAGGTTGACAGATATAGTGATTGATAAGGTGACGAAGAGGGTAACAGAGAAGAGGGTCACACAGGGAGTGTCCTACCATTGCAGAAAAATGAGGTGCATTAGAATCATTTTTGTTATTCGTAAAAGGAGAAGGTGTGTCCCCGATGGTAATGGAAGAGGTGTCGGAGAAGGAAGGGACGAAAGGGCTAGCCCCCGGGACGAAGGGGGTAATGTTCCATGAGGCGGAGACTGTCACGGGGTGGAAGCGATAACGATCCCTAGGACGGAGGTGGTGGCCAAGACAGAGTGGGCACTGGAGAGGGTGGCGGATGACAAGAGGACGCCCATTATGACAGAGGGTAAGAAGCATGAAATTGATGTGCAGGAGTAGGTGGTCAGCAAGAGATCGAGATTGCCTTCACAATATGTCATTTTTTCCTTCACAATTGAAGCAAAAATGAGGACGTTCATGGATGGGACATACTCCAATCTCTTCCGAGAGGTAGACCCTATCAAGTGGAAAACATTCGAGATAAAATAGAGAAGAATTATGACCAGGTAAGTATTTTGAGATTTTAGTAAAGTACACTAACTCATCTATACTTCTTTTAACATTTTTTCTTTTTACTTTTTTCAGAGCTAGCTACATGATAGCTCAAAGGATGATATAGGACGCTTATAAATGGTTTTTGGACATAACAACTCCGACAGCTTGATTTGTCGACGATGTAAGTGTAATATCGTCATTGTTATTTATTATATATACATAATTTATTGTTTATTTATTAAATTAAATAATCCTCTCTTTTTTTATTGGTGTTTCCTTTTGTAGCACATGGACCTGGCTTTGGACCTATTGTAATATCGTGCTTGATGATATTTGAGATCATTTAACGTTCTGGGCCGAGTTTATTGAACACCGAATTTTATACATGCCATTAATATTGAGCATCAGTCGATCCAACTTGTGGGAAATGAGTACAGGGCGCCTAAATATATGTTTGAGTGGGTCCTAGGGATGGGGCCAAATGTTGGGGGAAGTCATGAGTGGGTTGTACGCATATATACAATCTAGTGATACGAATCATCACTGCTTTGCCATGTAGATCTTCTTCACTGATTCTACTATATATGTGTACGACTCTGATCATACTTGTCTGACATAAGGTTAGCTCGAGCATAAATTGGAATCGATGGCTATGATCATTTATTTGATGGCTAGATATGCGGAGGTGCTCGTGTAGGACAAATTAGCCATCGTGCGAGATATAATGAGGACGAGATCATCGAAATCATAAGTACTTAAAAATTTTTTATTTGGAAACTTAATTTTTGGCTATATGTTATCGAACTAACACATTATTATTTAATTGCAGTAACAATTGTGGCATGTTTGCATTCAAGTATATTAAATTTTTTTGTATGGAATATATGGCTGATGAAATCAACCAATCCCGTATAAAAAATTGGATGAAGAAGTTAGTATGCAATTTATACGAATTCAATATGATCTATAAATATTGTATATTGTTTTATTCGAAAATGTAAATATTGATTATTTAATTTAATTTCATTGTATTGTATAATGTTTATTAAAAAATATAAATATTGTTATATTGTTCACTTAACTATTTATTTAATTGTGATTCGTAATGAATCTCATATTATTTTAGTTATATGAAAACAAAATATGAAGACTTAATTGCATCTTTCTAATAGTTGATTTGGAACATGAAACTGTAATCGAAGATTAATATTGGTAGATTACACATTCGTCTAATTATTATTTAAGGGAATCTGATTTGTACAAAATTGGTAAGTATGCATTATTGCCTGCTCGCACTTACGCGGTCGAGGGAACTCTCCGGTAGATGGTATTTTAGACATACGTGAACGTCCAAGATCACGCAGTTCAACTTCGGGCGTTGAACAATTATTAAGTGAAAGAGTATGATTGGGAACTTCCCACGCAACTTAATTTGTTAAAGGAAATATAGCCGTAGCATACACTGCTCTCCAGTAATCAGTTGTGTAATAAGGAAAGCATACCAACTAAAACCAACTACAAGTGCAGGTATTATTAGTCAAGTCCACCATGTGTGCCATATTACGTGCACATTTAACGAAAAAGCACGTCTTATCCAGTGGTTCCACATTCAACTTCTTGCAACCTCTTCAGCCTTGAAGAGTTTATCTTCCTGAGCCAGGCTAGTATGCTCGTGCAACTCTATTCTGCACATCAGTCCTGAAACCGTTGTTGCTGCTTGTTATGAATGTTCCCAATCATGCAAGGATTGGTAACCAAAAACTTGCCATGTGATTTATGCAACGTGATTTTAACCGCAGTGTACGGTGTCAAGTTTTGTAATATAATATTGAAGTAAGAGTGTAGAACCCACGAGGATGGTAATTTAATGTTTATTAAGTACTATAATTGTGTAATTCCTACTTTATTCAGATGAACAGATGATTGAATGATTGTGTCAAATTAATGTAATATAATTCGTTGCAATAAAGTTGATGAATGCAAATTATCAATATGAGAAGGCCTAAGGATTGATTTCACCTCACTCTTAATTACGACTCAACGATTTCCAATTATTTCAGTTAATTTTCCCATATTTAAAAGCAATAATCCTAATATATTCCTCTCCTTTCTCGAGTGCTGGCTAGAAAATAATCCTAGATTCCAATTCCAATATCTATATTTTGAATTGAAAATAAAGAATTTATAAAAGTCCTTATTCTTTTATAGAGTAAACTTCAAAGATTTTATACTTTCTCTCGAAACCTATAAAACCTATTTGTGTCAATCTTATGATCATGCCTAAATTCCCCTCTTACAAGTGCCGAAATTGACTAGCATCTATTCATTTCAATTTATTGATCAAGTAATTGAAAGTATTAAAATCATGACACAATTAAATATATGCGGGAAAATCAAAGAAATAATTATAAAATCATCAAACCATAATCTTGATTCGGCTACATCAAACCCCTAGATAATTTGTTTAGTTCATGACGTTATAAATGAAAATCATACAAATTATAATAAACAACATAAGGAAAAAGGATAAAAAAAAAAACTAGTCTTTTGAATAGATCTTCAATATTCTTTCTTGATGTTGTTTTTCCTTCCTTTTGGTGTCTTCAATTTTTGCCTCCTTCAGATTGTGTGGTTGAATTCTTCAATCTTGCCCCTTCCAATTCCCCTGAAAATAGGTCTTTTAAACGGTATTTATAGTATCTTGAAGTTTTTGAACGAATTAGAGTTGAGTTGGGTCAAAAAAATTCCAAAAATATAAAAAAAAAACCTCATTTTTTCACCATAGGCAACGCCTCGGCATCCAGGACGGGCGCTGCGGTGTTGCGTTCACTACTATTTTCAGCATCGTGGCGCCCATTTCGGGTGGCAAAGGCGATTTTCATCTTTTTTAGTATTTTTGTCATAACTTCTTGGTCTGATGCCTGATTGAGTTGATTCAAGATACGTTGGAAAGCTAACTCAAAAGGCTACAACTTTTCTATAGACGTCATTCTCCAATTCAATTGTTTGCTATATCAAAATGGGTCTTAATATGAGGCTAAAATTTCGGAGCATGACTTTTCAATTGGAAATTGATTTATGATCATATTTTGTCTAAAGTTGATCCCTTTGACATCTTTCTTCATCCAATTAACTCCTAACGCTCTTGAATCTTCATCGTGAGGTTCAACACAACTTTTGAATATTTTTACTTTAGTCTCCGAACTTTGGATCTCTTACAATTTGACATTTTCTCCAACTTTTGCTTATTTCATTTAATTTCATCAACCTATATCACAATATCAAAGCACACATTAAAACGTTCTAAAACACTCTCAATGGTAGCAAAATAATGAATTAAGTGGTACAAATGTAATGAGTATGGAGCATTCATCAGTAACTTTTGATCCTTCTTAAATAATGCATTGAGAGATTTCACATAGTTTAATGTCATCACGTTGTATACACATCTTGTAAAATGTGACCGCTCCCAATGTTCAATCCCTATTTTTGTTAGATAATCCCATGCAGGAATGATCTACTTTCTATTATAACCATAAACTTATTACACTCTTCAACACGATAAGTTTCTGTCGTTTTCCTAAACAATGAAATGATGCATTTACCTTGATACCTAGTCTCTAGGTTGCCTTGCATATAATACATGTAATACATATGATGGGGCTTGAGAAAAACTTAATGATACCATACCATTTATTATAAACAGTCCCTAATAAGTTATAAAGGCAAGATTCTCGACTTCTCCATTTGCGTTCCTTAGTTTTGTGAAAAAACAACGTATCGATGGATCATTCTTGCTATCGATTATGCTGAATACAAAAGGTTAAATTTGGATATTGACATCTTGACATGTAGTAATAATCAACTTGTCTTCATACGTAGCAATAATCAACGTGTCTTAGTAACTAGCTCTCGGAATTGTATCATTGACTAAAATTAGGGGTCGTATCGCATTTCGAAATCCTTGAATACATTGTCCAAGAGCCATAAAAAAAACTTTGAAACTATTCTCATCCTCCATCTCAATAAAATATGGAGTCCGGATTAGTTGTCTCTATGCTATGGCAATACTTAGCCACTTTAGCATAACTCTCCTCGATCGAGCCCATTAGATCTTTCAATGTGCATTCTTTGACTTTCAAGGTCTTCTACTAGCTCATAACCACTCCGTACTCTCGACGGATGTCGTTAATGATGTCCAAAGGTCTATAAATCGTCCGTGGATCCTGATACTTGGCATTATCGATCGACCAATAAACCATGCCCAGGCTTGCATTTCGACGAATTCCCATGTCACAAGTATGTTCTCATGTATACTTGTAAACTACAAATAACTCATTCATATCCATCTTCATCGCTTGCAAACACCAACGATAACTATTGTTGACGCATATAATTCTCAACATTGACTTGTTTGATTTACTTTGAACTTGAAGTTGTATTTAGATGTTATCCGGAGCACAGCTTCCTGTAAATCTTTTTAGTTCAAACAGATGCTCAATATGCGAATCCTCATCATCGAGAACCACACCCAAAGAATTAGAGAACGATTCAATCAATCCAGCCCTTGAGCTCTTATCCTTCTTATGTATCTGAATGGATAAATTAATCAAATCCTCATTTGTAAATTTATTTTTATTATTGTTGTCTTGAACTATCGAGGGAATTCTATGCATTATCACAAGATCACGATGAGGAACAACTGTCTCAAGAATAATCTCATCATCCTCACGAGCTGTTTCTACTGTATCTCAAAAATCATTAATGTTATGATACCCTACACCCGAATCTGCGTGTTCACTTTTGGTAACATTCTTCCTTACTAAAGTCACACAAAGAGGAGTCGTGTTCATTTTGTTCAATTAGCATTAGAAGTGACTTACATATGTGGAATCGAAATGGATGAATGCTCATTGAATAGAAATCTTGGTTTCATATCGTTCTGAGAGGAATCGAGTTTCAACTTGTTTTGTAAATCATGATACATTTCCACATATGATATACTTAATGTTATGAAAATTGGAATACCACCACGTATATACTCATTGATCTTTTTCGTCCAATTCAAAATCAACAAAATCAAAAATAGGGATTACAGTCATATCTGCATGATAAAACATAATTTTTAATTATAAGAAAAATAATCAAAAATCGGCTCAACCACTGGACAATAGAAATTTTAATTAAAAAAAAAATAATCGAACCGACTGCAGAACTACTAATAGTCAGCAGCTAGCTAGTCACACGGCCATCTTGACCTCCTGTTAGCAATCGGTCTAGTCCCATTTGTACATTGTCATGAATCTCATTAGAAAGAATATACATGCAAGTGAAGTTTTTTCTTATTTATGCGTCAAAAGAATTTAGATTTGTTAAAAAAATTATCCACAAGTTAATCCATGTTGAAATAAAATTTATCGATTAAAAATTATACAAGTTTAAAGAAAGCGAAACTAATACGTAAATATACTTATCGATTTGAAGTGATAGATATAAAAAAGTATTTTCTTATTTAGCGTTTGATAAATTTATGAGATTTTGAGGTTGAGGAAGATAAAAAATGAGAAATTTTTTATCCGTGTTAGAATAAATAGATAAGAAAAATTAGCTGATTTTGAAATTTTAAATGGAAATTGTTTGATTTTTATTTGTTAACTAAAAAGGTAGTACTATCTTTTAAAAATAAACAATAATTTGTAGTTGTATAATATACTTAGCTTGTGTCTGAGCCCCATTTTCGTCCATTACATTACATTTTCTTCAGTCAAAAATGGAGGCCGCATGGGACCCACGTCTAGTTTTCATGGACAGCCCCTGACATCTATGGTTGCAAATGCTGACTTTCATTTTTTGAAGACAATGACATGATTATCAAAATGACGGTACTGCCCATCTCCTGGAAAACACAAATTGCTCACACGTGAATAAATACAAAAAATGTTTACGTCGTTCCACGTTAGAATGGAATTCATGTCATGCGAAATTAGATAAATATTTACGTCTTCCTTGAGAAAAAAGAACATTCGTTGCAAGGCGTGAGTTTGACGCGATTAATATTTTTTGCGGTTTTGTGCATCGAGACAAATTCGCAAACGCAAAAATGCATTCCAGTCGTAATTTAAAATTTCATATCGACATTCAACTTCAAGGTAGCATTCACGCACTCAACGTATCGTGCGCGCAATAAAATCTCTTAACTGGGTCCACGTTGCATTCTCCTCCGCAACGGCATCCTCCTCCGCTGCTACTTCGTCTTCGTCATCGGGTAAATCAACCTCGACTTCTGCGTCGTCGACTTCCTCGGCCCTGTGGAATCCCTCATCGAGTTCTCCGTTGCGCCGTAGGAAATTATGGACTCCCATTGCTGCAACGACCACTGCGATTTGGGCACGGTATGAATAACTAGGCATCCTGTCCAGAATCTTCCATCGTTGCTTCAAAACTCCGAACGCGCGCTCGATAATGTTTCGACATGATGAGTGATGAAAGTTGAACCTCTCGCGTGCATTACGAAATCGACGTCGGCCGCCTCCATGATCGTGAAACTCTTGGAAGTGGTAACGTACATCCGACCCCTTGTACGGTGCCATGTACCCCGGTCGATGTGCAAATCCGGAGTCCACCAAGTAATATTTCCTGTCAGCGGGTTCCGAAAAGTGTATGTCCGGATTATGCACCGCGCGGGCTAGTATGCGGCTGTCGTGCGTGGGTCCCATGCTTCCCGGCAGCACAAATGTGAAACACAAGTTGAAATCGCACGCGGCAAGGACGTTCTGCGTGGGCACGCCTTTTCGGCCTATGAAGTTAATTCTTTTACGCCGTGGCAACACTGCACGCACATGGGTCCCGTCGATAGCTCCAATACAGTCCTGCGCCGTCCATTGACAATGCACGTCAAGCACGCTAAACAAATAATTGACATTTTTCGCAGGCATCGACACAAATCGCAGCACCGTCAACGTACCTGGAAGAATGGATATCGTTGCGGATCAGGATGATGACTTCCGGCTCCGCGGTTGTAGTTTTCATGCGGCCGGATCATGTCTGCTGCCAGCGCACCGACGGCGCGCAGCACACGCTTGAAATAATGGCCGACGGTGTGCAGCGAATGTCCAAAGAGCGTTTGCACTTGCCGATATCCTTTCCCATGGGCAAGTATGCACAAAAACATTCCGACCTGCTCGTACGTATCGATGCTCGTACTGTTCACCAATCCATAGCGATCTCGCAACACGTGTACAAAGTGCCTGAACATGGGGGGGTACATCCTAAACTCCTGAAAGCACGTTTGAGGATACACATGCATGTTCTGCAACATGAAGATATGTCCGCTTCGTGTTGTAGGAAATAAGAAACGGTGTGCCGGATCCGGCACGAGGTACTGCCTCACCATACGCTCCGCGATACGACAATACTGAAGCCACACCACCATATCTGCCTCCAATTGTTGTTGTACGTCTTCGTCCGAACCGTCGTCCGAACAGGTGTGCGAGACGATGTCGCAGTCGGTTTCGGATGACGTCTGCGAATCGGACATGTCCGTCATCTCAAAGACACGAATGTCTACCGCAAAACGCAATTCACTTCACTTCGCGGACGCTACGTGCACCTGTACTTCGGATTACAAATGCATGACCTGGGACTATGCAAATTAGGGGAATAACCTTCTTATAGCATGAGCATTTGCAATGCGTGCACCAGACCGTTCACAGTGTGTGATGGCAATTATTGATACCACTAGTATGCCTGCTGCAGGTGCATTGCATGCGCGACATATGCCGTGTCCAACACGGGGAATCTTTGCTGCACCACACAAAAGGTTCATAACTACGTAGTCTACGCGATCGCATTATTTGGGAACCTTTGTTGCTTTAGTAGAGTTTTTGACCTTTGTGTAAACTTGCATGTGAGAGAAGACATCTGTTACGCAGTGCTGCATTAAGTGCTACGCTATAAGATATGGGGAAAAGTAGTAGATTTACTATAGTAATTTACATTGGTCTAATCTTGTCAGACTAGGAGGACAGCATGTGGGCATAGGTGGATTATGTCAGTACCAATAATTTTTCTTCAGAATTATGTATATGCTATGAGCAGTGACATCACATCAGTCTATAAGGTCTACAGTTATGTCAATGTACTTAATAATGGAGTCCACTGTAGGAAAATCGTTGCCCCTTCGTTCGTGTATCTGTATAGCGTCGAGTCTATTTCTATACGTTGCAAGTGCAGACTAGGCACGTTACATGAATAGTGTGTGCATCAGTATTTACTGTGTACGCCGTTCTAGCACGTTTTAAATTGTTACACGTTATACGGATAGACGTCTACGAAAGTATGTAATTGTGTATGTCGGCCCGATTGTTTTCAGCCCAAACTATCTCGTTTCCCCCGAGCTATGGACAGAATATACGACAGTTAGGGAAACAAGAGAATGAAATACGTGTTGCCGTGCATGGAAACGAGCCAGATGCAGATAGTTTTAATTAAAGGAGGCAGTAAGGAATACATAGCGCACAAGGTAGTAGTCCACAAAACGTGCGAAGAAGAAGGCAAACGTCAAATTATTTTTACAACAACCAGTACCAACGACCATAAAAAAAAGGAGATACAACGAAGGAAAAGCAAAGACACTGGAAACAATATTCGCACGATCAACGACTGCCGGAGCCCGGCCTTTTGTCACGTTCGAAACAGTATGCGATCCACTTGTAACGCATCGCCGCCGTTTTCGCGGCACTGTATGCAACACGATTTCCGGAGCTTCGTAGGAACCACAACGCGAACATGTGCAACTCGTCGCCGGCTTCGACAAGCCCAGTAGAAAGCAAATCATCTATGCATTCGTGGAGCGTCATACGCCCCTCTTCCTTTGCGCGGATCGCCGAGGCCATCTCCCTCGAAGCGCAAGCGAGGTTGTCCACAGACTCAGAAACCTCCCTCGCCCCGAACTTCTTCCGCTTCCCCTTCGCATGTTTTCCCTTACGTTTCTCGCCACTTCGGCCTCGGGAGATATTCATTGAAGAGCTTGCTCTTCCTGGAGTCGGGCCATCGCTCGAATCTTCCTGGCTTCGACAAGCCCAGTAGAAAGCAAATCATCTATGCATTCGTGGAGCGTCATACGCCCCTCTTCCTTTGCGCGGATCGCCGAGGCCATCTCCCTCGAAGCGCAAGCGAGGTTGTCCACAGACTCAGAAACCTCCCTCGCCCCGAACTTCTTCCGCTTCCCCTTCGCATGTTTTCCCTTACGTTTCTCGCCACTTCGGCCTCGGGAGATATTCATTGAAGAGCTTGCTCTTCCTGGAGTCGGGCCATCGCTCGAATCCGTCGTCTCAGCGTTGATAGGTAACGTGTCGTGCTGATCATCAGAGTCGGAGTTGCCGCCCAAGGCGAAACCACGTTGCGACAGCTTCGTGGGTGTCAATGCGTATTTCATGGAGTCACAACTTCCTCCAAACAAACGGCTATACTTATGGTAGATCTCGGTGTTGTCGTTGTCCTTGAACTTTCCGTACCTGGGGTTCTCCTGAAATCGAACACGGGAGCATTAGGAAATGATTTGCTAGTTTTCCAAATGTTGAAACATTTCCACGCAAGATAGCATAAATTGTTTTCGGGGTAGTGCTGGTACCTTAATTTTCTGCGTCCACCACCATTCCGGAGCGTCAATTCTACCCCCGGTGCTTAGACCACATGCGATTCCCGTCGACTGGAGGAGCTCAAAAAGGAGTTTGTGGTCCGTGCGCATAGCACCCCAATGGTTTTTCAGCTGTGCCGTCGTCCAGTTCTTCCCTGAGTTTTGGTTGAACATGTCGCGTAATCGCTCCCACCATGTGGAAGAGAAGCACTTTCCACGGCGGTGTCCCTCTGCAGTGACGTGTTCGGCGGCCGACAAGAAGATCTTCTGCTCGCGAGGTTCCCATCTAGCACACTTGCGGGGCTCCGGCCTGTTTTCCATGTTCGGCTTCGCTGAGGGTACGGGCATCGAGTCCGGATTCTGTGTCGTGTAGTTCTGCCAAAAAGGTCGCACATCAGAGTTGTAAGAGCTTATTGGTAAACACAAAGTAAGTGTGAAGGTGAGAATGAAATGGTTGTCTGGCTGATCTTCAGTGCAGTGTAAAATTGTAATTGAAAAGCTCAAGTAGTTGCATGCAATACTATTTCAAAGTGTCAAATAATGGTACTGTCGTATCTCTTCAGTATAATTGAAGAGATAAACCGTATAAATGAAGTAAATGCTAGCAGTATCGACCTCTATGCCGTGACTGTATATGAAACAGCGTGATGCCAGACATGGATACATGGTACTACTTATTACAGTGAGAAGGACTCATAGATAGCTTGAATTGTGTTTTAATATTGTGAACTGGAAAACATAATTTTGTCACACACAAACATGCACATTACGCAGAGCAATTCGAAGACGTTCCTCTCTGTACGGAGGAAGATGAAATTGCAAAAAAACGACTTGAAAACTACTGGTTCCGTAAGTAATAAGGGTGGGCAATACGAACATACGCCACTGGAGTCCGGAATAGGTAGCTTTATACAGAATGGAGTCACTCAAAATTCTAAGTCCAGTCTCAATGCTACTCAATAAATTTAGCAAAACCGTTTTCGAACAAAGCAGGAGCACACTGTAGATCCTTAAAATTTCAAAGAAAAGGATTAACTCTAAGATTACAGACTAACAGACGCGAGCTGTGAAGGACGACGTCGACTGTGTTCCTGCGAAGACAGCGATTCGAGCGAAAACTCGGAAACTGTGGGCATTTGCTAGTTCTACTGTGACCATAGTTGAAACAATGCATACACTTAACAATTCACAGAAGCAACAATTGCAACGACTCTGCAGCCGGTGGCGCACAGCAAGACCACAGATTCATATAGATACCCGTTTTACAAATACAAAGCAGACAAGAAATGATTTCTACTACTACAAGTTGGGACCAATAATTTTCTATGGATTTGAGTCCCCTGCGTTAATAGCTATGTGCTTGGGGATGCAACACCGGCGGGGGGGGGGGCACTGGAGGTGAAGGCATACCATGGTTTCAGGGTAGTAGCCAAATCCGCCGGCGTCGTAGGCCATTTTCGGTTGATGCAGGTCGGCGTCCCCAGAAGTTGGTGCGCCGGTGTACTGTGATGTCGAGCCCAGAGGTTAGGCGTCGTCGGGTGAAGTTGGGGAGGAGTCCGGTCGTGGCCTCGCGCAATGCTCAACCGGCACCGTTGGGCTGAGGAAGCTTTTTCACCGTCGATACGGGAATTCGGTTGTCGTCGCCTGGTAACGGTGGACGGAGTCGCTGGACAGGGACGGCATTTGGGGAGTGGGTTTGTGCGGGGAGTGCGTTTGTAGACAGTGAAGGGCAATTGTGTAAAATTAAACCATGTGCCTGCCTGCCAGTGTCAGAAGATAGATTCCGGAAATTTCGAATTGGTGGTCAAAAAGTTTGAAAAACGAACGAAATGAAATTGTAATGGGGCTCAGACAGAAGCTTAAAGGAATCTTTGTCGTTTAACACCCAAAAGGTCAATGTGAGAACATGCAATTGTTTTCAACTCAAAGTGGAAATGAGGGGATTTGACTAAGCAAAACTTAAAAGGGCCCTGCTTTTGGGCATATGGGTGATGAAAATTACTAAATCGGTCCTTCATTTTTATTCAAATTGTAAGGGTCTTTTTTATTCTTTAAATAATTCAAATTTGATCACAATTTAATCATGGCACAGATTGTTTTTGCTGCTAGTAAATTATATGTATACACGAATATTTGTAGGAAATATGTAATCATAGATTGCATTGTAAAAAATTAATTGATCAACTTGACCGTTAATATCACAATCCCTTGTCACACAGTAAAAAAAATACAAATATATCTTCTCGTTGTTTCTCTCCAAACTTGAGTCCCCTTTTCGTCTTAACTATAAGTTATGTGGCCTTTCTTTATCTATCTATTCACGTTGCAAAAACATGTTGTGTCAACATCAAACAGCATGGAACATTTAGCCCAATAGAGAGGTGAATATGGTGGTAGGACAATTGTTGTAAAGTGATTCTTCGAAAGATTAATCTTTCTAGAAGCGATCGAGTATATATCAAAGCAATCTCTCCAATTAGTAAAAGTGCTACGATAGGGTCTTTCACGTGATTACACTAACATTTTTGACTGAAGACATATAACAAGATTAAGAAAGAGAGACACGTGACCCCCCGAAAAGGGAGACTAGAAAACGCTTTTGGTCCCCCCTTTGTCGGCTCTTGCCACCTTCCTTAACAAACCATCGAGCAGGAATTTTTGGTGGGCAAACTCTTGCTTCTTGACTCTATCAGCTAATCTCCCTTCTCCAATCCAGTCATCCCCCCGTACATCCATATTTCCTTTACCTACAAATCCGTTGCTATAAACTCAAATCACAAAAAACAACAGAATACATGTAGCCGCCTATGTTTGGCTCATGTTTATAAATTGTTTATAAACAGTTAAGTCATTTTTATCCTACACACAAGAACTTACCAACTATTCATTTGTATCTATATATAATTTAAACAGTTTATAAACAATTTACAAACAATATTTCAAAGATTAAAGCTTTTATTTAAGACTGAAAGAATTTGAAATTCAATTTTCAACAATGTAAAGAATGTAGAGACAGCAATTGCACGCACTAAAACCAGAGGTAAAATGCAACTCCAGTTGCCTTCTGCTTAAACTCGAAGAATAAAGATAATGACTTCATAAAATGCTGATTGTACCACTGTTCCTCTACTTCGCCGTACAAAATTTTCCCAGCTCAGGGATGGGCAGTCCCTTGGTCTGCATTTGTTTATACATCCACTGCCAGTTTTCCGAGGTTACCTCACCCCCGAGATCACGAGTGACAGAGCCCCCACTGCATGATCCCACTCTGCAGCATTCCTCCAATGATAGTCCCTTAACTAATCCGTACAAAAATCCGCATGCAAACAGGTCCCCTGCACCAGTGGCATCAATCGCCTTTGCCTCCCATATTGCAGGAACACGGACAACCTAAAACAGTAATGAACTTCGATGTATCAACTACAAGCTGCATGCCCAAAAATACAACATACATAAAAAATAACTGAAGCTCAACTCCTGCTATCAGCAAATCTTATAAACATGGCAGAATCAGCCATTAAAATTAGCCACTTTTAGCAAGTTCGGCAATGTAGATTAGAGTCTCCAACGGTATCATCACTTTAGAGGGAGTTGAAACTAGACAGAACCTAAACACTTTCATAGTAGGATACGAATACAAGCCACCAACGAATTGGGAATTGGTTGGACAGTTCAAAGTTATGATCAACCTTTGGATTCATATGACTAAACTTTGAATGCCAAGATCATACTTTTTCTCGATTTTCCGTAGTGTTTCAGTTCTTTAGTCAACCAGATTACTCCAGTAAATTTTGAAAATTATCTTCATCACACACAATTGGAGCATTTATTTTCTATTTTTCTTCACCAGAAAATGTCGTAGTTAATTCATTGCATGCAACACCTCGACTTAAAAAGAGTGCACTTCTAATGATTTTCTTCATTAGTCATCTCAATAAATTGCCCTGCTTATAATCATATATCTGTAGGAATCCACTCGTATAAATTCCTCATAAAAAGCCTACTGCAACACATTTCAGGCTAGGTAGCAAATTTTATTGCCATTACCGATTACAGAAATGTAGCAACTCACATACCCAATGGAATCCCCTTTTTATCAACTATAAAAATTGAGATTGCAAAAAAAATAAAAATAAAAATTAATGGATAAATAATAAAAAGAGAGAAATATGTATTGAACCAGAGAAAAAAATAGGAAAATTAAGAAAGATGCATCCTCCTCATAATACGGATATCAGAGTTTAACCTGAGTCCTAAGTTTCTTACGCAAAAATTGTCTAGCCTGAAATTTTCACTGTGGAATTTACTTCTTTTACAGGCATAAGCATAAATAACATATATAATAGACGAAATGATGCCAAACTACAAGTCCAGTTACCGGGGAGATTAGCAACAAGTGTTAAAAGGAGAACATGCACATTCTTGTTTCCTAGCTATCTAGTCAAAGTTACCCTCAAGTGTCACACCATTCTTTTTTCATTTCTTAGTTTATTTTCCTTTTCCATCCCTCAGTCAATTGGGAGACCACAGGAAGAAAAGAAAATGACCCACTCAACATACCTCTTTTCCGTGTTTTGCAATGCATCCTTTTGGGCCTAATGTCACAACGGCCCATTGGCAGTGTTCGGCCAAAAATTCAAGTGCCACCTCAGGACCTGCATTGTCTTCACTCCTGCAACTTCATTGAAGTGAAGATATCTACTCAGAGATAAAACTATATCACTAAGAAAGCTCATTAATTTATTTAGAAAGTCACCTCAGCAATTCAGCTGCCTCGTCCTCATTGGCAAAGCAAAGGTCTATGCTCCCTGACTCCAGTAACTGTACAAGTGGTGACCTAAACTTCCGCACCATCTGCCAATATAGGATTTTCACTCATAAAGCAGCCGACAATTCTTCTCTTTGGCAAATATTTTTCATTCCAAGAGATTAGCATAAAATCAAGCACTTTCAAGTTCCATCTTTCCCAATATAATATCTCCATACCAGGAGTGCTCTATTCTTCGAAAAAGATAATGCGTGAGCAAAGCATTACCTCAAAACTGGCCAGATCAAGTGAAACAGAAACACCCTCTTGCTTGGCAATCATAATAGCTGCATGAATAACTTCTAAATTTTGTACTGCATATCTTAGAACTAGCCACTGTAACATCAGAAAACAATGATTGATACAATTTAAAGTTGGCTCCATTGCATTTACACGAGAAGAAACATCTTACAAGCTTCATATAATAACGCATGTAACATCAGAAAACAATAATTGATATAATTTAGAAGGATCCACTGCATTTACACGAGAAGAAACACGTTACAAGCTTGATATTACACAAGCATCATGTTTTCTGATTTAATTTACCGGTGCATGTACAAGGGGAAGGGGGGGAGATGATATTCCGCATGCAATACGGTACAAAAAATCAGAAATGTCTCACCTTGGAACCTTTAAAATCCTTTCTTGTCAGCTCATTTGCCTGGAAAAGGATAACATTAGACTACATGCATAATTCTTAACCTACAAGATGCAAAATTCCTTAAGAATCACAAGTTATTGCACGGTAGACTAGATTAAAGTGCCATGCACCTGAACTTTTACAGCACTAGAGAGACAAGGTCGCATTGTGCGATTGCCCAATTCATCAACCAAGCAAACACACTGTTCCATACATCAATAAATTAGGTTTAAGCTCTTATTAGTAGCTATTTGAGAATCTTTATTAGATGCAAGGACATCATTTGCAGAAGCAGTGAAATGCTTACTTGTGCAGTGGGTCCATTCTTCAATCTCAATCTAAAGAGATCAACTTTATAAGAGCTCATATTATCAACGAACAAGTTGCCTTGTTCATCATTCCCACAGGCCCCAATTATACCACAAGTGACCCCAAAGCCAGCTGCGAGGCCTCTGATAGTATTGGCAACACTTCCCCCTGCTATGGTCTTCAAAGTAGATGCATTGTCAAGTGAAGCAAGAGTATGGGCATTAACCTTATTCAAGATCATCTTCAGCTCTTCATCCGCAACCTTAAAATAGCCCAAAATATAATCTGTATATTATAAATTACGACAAGTACTGGAAAACTTGAACCTTCACACTATCTAATGGGTACGCGAGAAAGTGGATCCCCACCCCACCCCCACACCACACCACCTTACCCTACCGTCAAAGGGAGTGCATGTGATGGGTGGCGGAATGGTTGATAGCTGGTGGTGAGGGTGAGGCCTCAGGGTGGATGGTACTGTGAGAGAGACGGAGTCTTGCAAATATTTAAAATTCCCTATCCTGAATTTTAAGCATTTGGGTGACTAAAAAATCTCCACGTGATGTATTTTTAGATGCAATGTTTTCTACTTCTGCATTCTTCTCACTAAACCAAAAAAGCCAGTACAAGATACATTTCACATGGCTGATGTTCTCTGTTCGTAAACTCAAATGCAGCAATATGCTGCTATTTAAGGTGTAATTGATTGCAAGCATGGAACTTGCATGGAAAGAAAATAAATTCTAGGCAGTTGAATTGCCCAGAACTTATTTGCATGAAAATTGTCAATTAAATGTATTTAATTGATTTAATTTTTAACCTAGAAAATGTTGTATTTTTCCATAAATTTGAGTTTTTTGAAAGTGTGAATTGTCCAGAAAAAAAGGGCCCCATAAAGAAAATATTTTCCTTGTTTTTGAGAAAAACATGGTCAAGTGACCAACTTTTGAAAAATATGTCAATCAAATACCCCGAAAGTAGGAATTTGGGTGGAAAAATGATATATTCTAGAAAAATAAAGCTAATCAAACACACTTTTAATGAACTAGCATCTAGCATCATGAAAGAAAGCAAGACATTTTAGATATTTATCAATTGACAAATGCAAACTAGTCTCAAATACGACTCCTCTCAAAAGACACGAGCACAAGTTAAAACTGAAAATCCAAATGCAGCATTTTTTTTATCAATTAACTTTGACAATATAAGTAGTTTATTTCTCAACTACTTGTGCTCAGTCCAAAGACAAAATAAAAGAAAAACACCTGTCACCCTTCAGAGGAGATGATTGTCAAGTTCAGCTAAGGATATTGATGTTATGAACTTCTCTTCTTCAATAGCAAAATTTCAGAAGCCAAATATATAATCTGTAAATAAAAAATTTACTATAGCACGCACAAGTTATTTGATATCTCTGCATCCTAGGGGATGAAAACTATTATGGCTTCCCTAGGCTATAAAAATTGAGAACTAAAAGAACAGCCCATAAACATTTTAGCCCACCTAAAAGTGAATATTGAGCCCACATATATTTAGCCCAATTGAATGACTAAATTGATAAAACAAAAAGAAGGACAACGAGAATTTCTTTTCCACAAATATCCTTTAGTGTTCACATATATAAATAGCCTTTACGGAGTTCACAAAACACAGAGGAAGTTGCATTTTTGCAATGTTTCAACCCAATGTGGAATTTGATTTCTACCCACCCTTTGTCATCGATGGCTCTTTTGCAGTCTTGATTTCATCCACGAGTAGCTTCAATCTTAACTATGACCGATCAGGAGTTCAAGCATTAGACAAGATCAAGGAAGATGGACTTATCTTTCGAGGTTTGAAGAAGTAAATGACGTTAGAATGGAATTTGTAGCTGTCTCAAGTTTGGTTAGAGTTCTACGCACGTAGAGGAGACTGTACTTTTAATACTGAGGTTTTTTTCTTGTAGCCTGATGCAAAACTATGGTCAGTGATGATGTGATTTTTAGTTATCTTTGATTAGATTTCATAACTGAAATTTGGACTTAAAATTGAAATATTCTTTAAGGTGAGATCTAAATGAGTTAACAATGGAGTTCATAGTTTCCTCAGAGTTTCTTTAATATAGGAACTTGGTTAGTGACAGTATGTTCATATTAGAGTTCCTTAGGTGTCACTGCAATATCCTAGTACAACACTTGAAGGTTTGTCAAAAATACAACTATTTGTTGTAGAATGAACTGGAAGTGTATTTTAAGATGATCAAGTTTCTTACATTCGCTGCTTAAAACCTATTATACCACATCATCGATCTAATTTTAGCCCACCCTAAAATGTACTAATATCTCTGTGCCTGGATCCTCAAAAGAATATCCCAAGAATGTTTAAACTCAAACATGCACGCTAAGAAATAAAGAAAATAACCCAACTCTGAGAACGTTAACCCCGCCTAAAACCACCCAACCAAACTTAGTTTATATTATAATTCGAAGCACCCTGAACAAAACGACGACTGAAAACAATGCTAATCAACAACCACCTAATAGGCATCTGCTTTCTAAATCAGTATTCAGTTATTTATAAATCCATAATAATAAAAACCAAAGTTCACAAACAAAACAATTAGCAACAAGAACGAGGCAATACAGGGAAAGAGCCACCGGCTTCGCCGTGGATTCGGGAGAGGAAGGACAAATCAACTCTGGCCACATGGTCCACAAGGGCTGAGGGTTGGAGTCCCAGCACCACAGGGGCATCGGCTGCATCAGCACCGTTGATTTCATCGTTGTTGATGTTACGAAATTCAACACCCATTTGTTATCTGGGATTGTTGACAGGGGAAAATTCTATGAATTTAGTAGAGATTTTGGTGCTGGACCCTCTCCCCCATCCTCCCTCTGTGTATCTGGTATATATAGCCCTCCTCTCCTCTTAGCGAGCGCACCCACATGAAAATAATAAGAAGAAGAAAATTTAAATAGCAACGGAGGTCTGAAACATTTGACGTATTGTACTTTGGTCCTTAATGTTCAAAAAATGAACATTTAAAGCTTCAACCTTTTAATTTTGAGTAATGTTTTTTTAGCATCACTAATATTAAAATATCAGTCTAGTATCAGTGATATTAAATGAGAAGTATAATAAAAAAGTTGTTTAACTTCACATTTTATTGAATCTATCATATAACGCCACTTAAATTAATGTTATAGTGTTGGAGGTGCTAGATATCATTATTATTCAATTTTGTTGCATTGTTAGTCTAAATGAACATATCTGCCTAGTTTTCTATAAAGAGGAATGAACTATTAGGTAATTGTTGCATTAAGGTATAGCGTAAGTTTGAGCTCTAGTTTGTAAGAGAGTGTGTTTTGGAATAGCGATTTCTGAAAAATATTTAGTTAAAAAATAACGAAGAACTTTCAATTTATGTGAAATTATGTTATGAGAGAATTTATGGTTTAAAAATGAGATTTTGGGAAAATGAAGGCCAAACATGAGCTAAGAATAAAGGGAAAAAAGAGATTGTTACACTTTATAAACAACAAGAACGATATAATCATTTATGTTATAGAATTACAGAGAAAGACAAGGATAAAAGAGAATAAGAGAAAAAAATAAATAGGGTTAAATTTTAGGTGTGTATTTTATTATAATAATGACCCAAATATAGGGATTCAATGAGAGTTACAACTTAAATACAAAAAAACTTCCTTTTTTTAATAAATAAAATTTATCTAAGGATCTTGGTAAGAGTAAATAGTTATAAATATTTATCCTATAGTTTTAAAATATGTCTCTTTTGATGACTATTTCCACAATAATTGTTTCATTAAAAACTTAGTTCTCTTTGTGTTTCAGTTTTGTGTTTTGAGTTTTGTGTTTTGGGTGTTTGTTTTGAAATTGTTGAAAATGCGTTCTTTTTGTTAGTTTCTCAAAACAAAAAACAAATTTTTTTTTTTTTTAAATTTTGAGAATCACCACAACACCACCTCAAAACACCAAAAAAAAAAAAAAAAAATTTTTTTTTTTAAATTTTGAGAATCACCCCACTATCTCCTCAAAAAAAAAAAAAAATTTAATTTTTAATTTTTTTTGAAATTTTGAGAATCACCACACCACCTCCTCAAAAAAAAAAAAAAAAAAAAAAAAAGAAGTGTTTCCCGCGTTTTCAATTTTTTCAAGTTTTACACTGAAAACGCCCAAAACGACAAAAAAGTCGTTTTGTGTTTTCTTCACAAATTTTTTTTCGTTTTCGAAAATTCGTTTTCGAAAACGAGAAAGAGAACGCGTTTTCACCGTTTTGAAAAATCGAAAATAGAAAACGACCCGAAAACGGTAAAGAGAACAGGGCCTTAGTTTTACAAAAACCTTTTGGGATAAAAATATCAAACAGTGGAAAAAATGGTACAAATAAGTATAATAAAATTGGAGTAATAAAATGTTGCATCGCTAAAACATCGTAAAAAAACTCAATAAGACAAAACTTGACTAAATGGAAAAAAAAAAAAAAAAAGAAGGAAAAAAAAAAAAGAAAGATGATAGTTAATTCCCTTGAAAAAAAAAAAGTAGGAAAAAAAATGAAGAAGATGATAGTTAATTCCCTTGAATTTATAAGTGAAACACAAAGCCCAATTTTTTTATTATTTTTTTTTTCAAGCTATCTCATTAACTTTAGTACTGTTGATCAATTTATAATTGGATTATTAATTAATAACGTGGGAAAATTACCCCCCATTCCTACCTTTTTAACTATATATTTCAATAAATTAGAATTCAAATTTATGTTTTCAAAACTCAGGTATTTAGGCATATACTACACCTCATCCCACCTAACCTCACACTACTTTACATATCATGACTTAAATGTTTCAACGGTCACTGAACTTTGTATTATGTCACGACATACTCATTGAATTCTATCAATTGTCGCATTGGCCATTGAACTTTTCTCCATCCTACTCCACTCATCGGATGTAATCTATTTGCTAGTAGATTTGCTTAGGTGGAGGATGAAAAAACGATGTGATCCAAATGGTAAGCTAAGTGCCAAGTCATCAACACGTAGCAACTAATTCTTCCAATCACATCATTTGGAAATGAAGAAATTAAAACATGCCTTCTTCATCAAAATTGAAAGCAACTTCAATGGAAGATGAAATTAGTTCAGGTGCAGTGAAATCAAAATCCCCAAAATTGAAGTTTCAGAAAAATAGGATTAGTTTTTTCATTCCCTAGCGTATCAATTGCTCAAATTTGCAAAAAATAATAATAATAATAATTTATTATAATCTGTGAACCTGATAATATTTACTAGAACAACTTAATATTATTTACGAGGTTAACGACCCTTTCGAAAATGCCCTCAGATATTTTATTTTATTTTATTTTTTTTTAAAGACAATTTTCAGCTTAAGAATGGCTAGGATAGTAGGGTCTATTCCCCAATGCAGAAACTTTCCACGAGTTTCCTTGCACTCTTGCTATGCCTAGCATCTTCGAATTCATCGGTGGAATCTTCTCCAATTGTCCTTGGTAAAACATCATCTCCATCTGGGTATTCGCCCAAATGTGATGATACATCATAAACCTTTCGGAGCTTGCTGTGCTGCCAGAAACTACACGCATAGAAATTGCACAGAACAGACATAGCAGGGGGTGGATGAGGGAGTTTTTTGGTATTTTTTATTACAACATGAGTCACACACATGTGAGATTTCTGGCAAAAATTTGTGAGACGGTTTCCTGTACGCAGCATTTTCGAAACCTTTTCGTCAATGACAATCCAACAATCTTCCTAGATGTTTTGCTGCAAGGCTTCTTCCATTGAGTAAAGTTTTGTTAGCGTTGGCATATTTTCTACCTTCTACAAAATTGATAGGTTTGCCTTAGGGTTTGGGGCACCATTTTGGGGGATTTTGATTTCACTACACATGAACTAATTCTATCTTCTTGCTTTTAATGGTGAGGGAGAAGGCAGGTTTTTATTTTTTTAGTTAAGAATGGCGTGCTTGGAAGAATTAATTGAAGTTCGATGAGTAAACCATGACGGGATGTAAAGCTCAGTGACCATTGAAACCTTTAACTCACCTATCATTTAATCTATTTCTTTCCCCATTTCTCATAATCACAGACAACATCTCTTCATCACCGTCACCACCACTCCCATCGAAATACGTAGCAGGTTGTCAACGATGAAGCTATGTTGGGTAAACTAATAGCTTCTTCCTTACAAAATCTGTTAAGGGAATATAATCCCATATCGGTAAAATACCGAAATAATGATCAATATATAAAGGATTGAGACACTTCTCTTAATAAGGTTGACCTTATTAAGTTGGGCCCCAAATCTTAACATGGTATTAGAGCCCATTAAGTTCCAATGAGCGATTCGATCCGATTAAGTCTCTAAAAATGAGCACACGGATTTCAAGATTGATTTGCTCAAACGAGCCACCATATTGTGGGGCATGTTAAGGGAATATAATCCCACATCGGTAAAATACCAAAATAATGACCAATATATAAAGGATTGTGACATTCCTTTTAATAAGGTTGACCTTATTAAGATGGATCCCAAATCTTAACAAAATCCAAGTTTGATTTCGTTCGGTGAGGTGTCGTCGTTACACCATATCTTCGCCTCCGTTGACCATCGCACAGACAAGTGTCTAGGCCATCTCCTATCGTCGCCAATAAGCCCATTTTATGACCCGCTCACGATTTTGCACTAGATCAATGGATGATAGAATTATGTCACAACCTCAATGGTTGGTAGTTGTTGGGTTTGTGACTGGTTGGGACTATGGGATGATGATGGTTTGGGGAGTCGAGGTGGGTTTAGGGTTTGAATAGGAAATGGTGATTGTGAGAGTCGATGATAGAGATAAAGTTATGGTGGCTATAGATCCGGAGGTAGGTGATGGAGGCACTACAGTGGCGATGGCTATAGATCCATAAGTTTCTTCGAAAAAAACCTAATGTCATTATCGACAATCTTTGAGTAGAACCAACATGAGTTGTTTTGAATGCTTCATTGCAGGGTATCGTATGTCGGAGTAGGAAAGACAACAATTTTGGTTGTAGGGATAGTAGTAGATTTTGAGGAGAGAGTTGGGGGCTCTATGGTTGTCGAAGGTGGGTTGTGGGTGTTGTGAGATTGAGTAAGAAGAAAATCAATGGCTGTCAACGATGGTGATGATGTGGAGTGGGTGAAGAGGAATTAGTAGAAGGTAACCATTATAAAAAATAAATAAATAAATAATAATAATAATAAATGTTTAAAACCTTAAAAACTAATGAAGTCCCATTTTCCCCCTCATAACGTAAAGAGAGAAAATAGTGAAAATGTAGACACTAAACCAACATCCAACACGCCAAGAAATCGATGACCCAAACCGGAGATTACCATCTCTGATCATTGAATTTCTGGTGAGCATTAAAACCATTATATACAATTAATTTTTAAAATAAAACATGTTTATATGTAGATTTATTGAAAGATATTTGTACATGAGAAATAACTCATGAAACACCAAAATATTCTGAGCCTTGGTGGCAGAGATCGCCATTTCCACCGAAAATGGCAATCTCTACCATTTCTAGCCGCCTACGTTATTGCAAATGATGATAAAAACATCATCTGGATTCGTTTGAATCTAGACAGCCCAATCAACTGGGCTGCCAGTTGACCAACGTCTAGGCCATTCTATAATGAGTCGTCTAGATTTCTAGACGATAAAACCTTTTTATTTATTTAATTTTTTATTAATATTTAATTTAATTAATTAATTATTTAAATAGTTATTTTAATTGTTTATGTATATTATTTGTCTAATATTTAATGATTTACTTTATTTATTTATTTAGTTATTTAATTTAATTGTTTATTTAAATATTTCATGAATTAAGTATATTGTTTATTTAATATTTAGTTACTTATTTTAATTATTTATTTAATATTTAATTTAATTATTTGTTTAAACATTTCATTAATTATTTTAATTGGTTATTTTTATTATTTATTTAATATTTAATTAGTTAGTCGAATTATTTACTTAGTATTTAATTTAATTATTTATTTAAATATTTAATTAATTATTTTAATTTTTATTATATTATTTATTTAATATTTAATTAGTTATTTATTTTAGTTACTTATTTTAATTTTTTATTTAACATTTAATTTACTTTTTTATTTAAATATTTTAATTGTTTATTTGTATTATTTATTTAATATTTAATTAGTTATTTTAATTTTTTATTTCATTTGCATATTTAATATGGGATTGTTTTTGTAATTGCTTATGTAAATTATTTATTTATTTCAGTTGTTTATTTTAGTTGTTTATTGAATATTTATTTTTTTCCTTGAATTTTAAATTTTGTTGAGAAAAAAATAAATTTTCACTTTTTATTAATTTCCTTTATTCCATTATTTGTTGATTCTTGCATATAGTAGTTACAGTTCAGTTAGCTTAATCTTATAATATTATGCTTCATTCACTATCTCTTGCCTAAGGTTTTAACATTCAAAATTTTGCAGGATGGAACACCATTTGGACAATGCCATTAGCCAGATTCTCGGCAAACTGTAACTTTGCTAATTTACGTCGAACTGTAACTTTGCTAATTTACGTCGGTATAAGATTTGCTCGATGAGGAGACATGGGCATATTGCGTTCATCCTGCTTATGACCTCTGTATTCGTTGTGCGACGTTTAGTTTTTTGGACAGTTGCTCGATGCATTGCTATATCAGCTACTTAAGCAAGTTGACGAAGATACCCTCCATTTTGATCTTAGGGGGCAAGGTAGCTGTGTTCTCTATATTCGAGCACATCATCATCATCAAATTGAGATGAATGAGCAAAAATGCAACAATGGCCCGTATTTTGATAAACAAGAGGCTGCTGAATGAATATTTTCATAGGCCAATGACAGTAACTCGAGTGCAGTTGGGAGAAGCATTCAGAGAATACGACTAGATGTCTGACATGTTGAAGCTGGGCTTGGTGGTTATCCTCGAGAGCGTATTCAGGTCTCATCATAAGAAAACGCTGATTGATGTTTTTTATTTGAAGATTGTTGATGACATTGATCCTTCGACAACTATCCACATGGACAAAGATGTTTTATGGATATCTTACGCCTCTTCAAGAAGAGGTATTCAATGCTTAAGAATGATAGGCCCAAGCGTAAGTACGATGCATATGGCCTACCGTTGGCTTTGTAGGTAAATATTTAATATAATGAATTATCTATTTTTTTATTGAATTTTATATATAATAATTAAAATTGTTGTAGATATGGGTGTACGAGATTGTCCCTATCTTAACTAGTTGGTATGCGAGGAGAGGGGAGACATGCTGTCATCGAATGCATAACTGGCAATTACAAGACAAGCCACTTACCAAATTTATCAGCTCTCTTCGACGACCCTTAGGTACGTATTACACATTTGCGATTTATGTTGTATGTCCTTTCGAAATCTCGATACATGATCATTAACTCGGTGGAATGTCAATATGTCAGTTTGAAGTCCTCACTGAGTTGACACCATCGATCGAGGAGGGGCTTAAAGTTATCTCCATGAACTACTATTCTGGCTACATTAGACAATCAAATGCCCGAGTCTGTCAAGATAAAGTATATTGATCGAATATAATTTGTTGATTGTCGTTTTGATTTATTTAATTAAGTTATTCATTTTTTAAGAGCGTCATCTAGTATCACCTTCGCTGAGATATAACCTCTGCCAAGGGGATCATTCCGTCGAGAAGATTACCTCCTATACATAGTCACATTGCTTCTACGGATGATTTTGTTCGAACTTCTGACTACGTTTATGAGGAAGATGAGAGTCGATGTAGCGGAGTTACAACATGATGTCACGATGCTAAGAACTGGGTTAAGAAACCTTCATGTTGAGGTCGTAGTGATACGAGGTGACATAGCAAGCCTGTGAGAGACTGAAGGCCCTCGAGATGGAGATAATGACGGAGAGATTGGCAGTTTTCAAGATGGAGAAAATGATGGAGGGATTGACGATTTTTCATGGGCGAGAGGGTGATGGAGAATATGGTCATATGGGGTATGATGATTCGTCGTGGCCATCAAATGTTACATTCGAGTCATTTTTTCATATACGATGAAGGGTGTGGCCTCGATGGAGGTGACGGAGGGGGTACAAGAGGAGGCAACAAAGGGGCCACAACAGGGGATGTGGCGAAGGGGGAGAGGATACCAGACATGACGGAGGATGTCATCTTTATGTTAGAGAGGGTAACGGAGGTGAAAAAGTGGAAGAAGCATGTTGTTGATGTATCGGAGTTGGTGGTCGATAAGAGGTCAAGATTGCTGTAACAATACATTGTTCCTCCTTCACGGACGAGGCGAAGAGAAGGACATTAATGGACGAGGGATGTTAACCAATCTCTTCCGCGAGGTTCACTGAGTGAAGCATAAAGCGTTCGATGAATGGTTCAAATTCCTTAAATTCGAGTAAGCACTTTTACGATTTTGATAAAGTATATATAAGATCATCTATGCTTTTTGTAACATTTCACTTTTTTATTTTTTCAAAGATAGCTACATGATCGGAGAGAAGATGATTTCGATTGCTAAAAAGTGGTTTGAAAATGTATTGACAATATTAGCTTGGCTCATCGATGATGTAAGTTATTCTATTTATTATTTATTATGTTTACGTAATTTGTTGTTTTATATAATTAAATGACCCTTTTATTTTTATAGGTGTTTTTCCTTCAAAACATCAACATGGCCATGGAAATGTTACACGATTGAGCTCAAAGACACTCGAGATCTTTTGACGTTTCTGACCGAGTCATCCTGAGCTCCGGGTTCGTACATGCCATTGATATTGAGCATGACTTGCTCCTACTCCAGGGAATGAATATGTGGTGCTTGAGTACATATTGGAGTGGGCCATTGGGTTGGAATAGATGTGTGGAAAGTCATGGAGGATTGTACACATGTATATTCCAGTGATCACGAAGTCACACTACTTTGCAGTTGAGATCGCATTCGTTGATTTCACTATTTATGTGTACGACTCCGACCATAGTTATCTGACGCAAGCTCAACTGGAGCGAATATTGGAGTCGATGGTTGTGATCGTTCCAATAATAGCTAGACAAGCGATGATTCGAGTAGATGACTGATTAACCATTGTGCGGGATATGACAATAGCGAGACAAGGGGAATCGTAATGATTTACAATTTTTTAATTTGAAAACTTATTTTTTAGCTATATGTTTTAAATTAATATATTATTATTTATTTGCAAAACTAATATATTATTATTTATTTGGAGGGACGATTGTGGTATATTTACAATAACCCATATAGAATTTTTCAGTATTGGTTGCAAGGTTGATATAATAAATCAATATTGGATGGATATCTCGAGATTGAAGTTAACTTGCGATTTGTATGAATACAGCTGTGATCCTTAGCATATTGTATATTATTTTATTAAAAAATGTAAATATTATTTACTTCGTTGTGATTCATAGTGTAATGCAATAATTATATATGTAATTTGGAGAATATTTAACTATATAAGTAAAATGAAACCGACTTTATCGATTTGGATAAATTTCAACCCAAACTTACCCAATCTAGTCGTTGAAACTGAACCAAACAAAACTAGTTTGGGTCGGTTTGATTTGGCTAATCGGGTTGGAATTTTTGCAAGTAAAAATAAAAATAAAAATTGTCTACCTATATTGGGTTAAAAAATTAGTTTTTTATTGCATAATATATATATAAATGGTCAAGAATCAATTTTTCCAAAATCATCATATACATAAATTCGATAGTTATTAGCAAACAGTTACACCAAAATGAAAGTAAGGCTACAATCTGAATTCGAAATTTTCATTCTTCTTGCTTTCTTTTCTTTTGATATTTAGAGTTTTGGTTT